TTCTCTAGAACAACCGATCAAGGCGTTCTGAACTAGAATCCCTCTATCGAAAGAGGTTCTCAATCGATACAAAGCAGTGAATCAACCCTCGACTAAAGCAATCGATCCACTACTATCAATCTATGGTTCTCTATTGACCTAATCGGGTATTCGCTCTCATAGGATCGAAGCAGAATAAATAATCTCGACTAAAGCAGAATTGAATCATGAAAACATGCATAGATTGAATATGAACTCAAGATTATCAAGTAGGAGTACTCATACAATCATCCAATCAACAAACATAGCTAGGGTTCCTCAAAACCTAAGTGAAGGGAAGTTACTCCATAGAGAAGAGAGAGACTGCAGTAAAAATCTTCAGATGATCAGTCTTCAAGTCCGGGCTTGTGCCTCGAGCTTCCAAGGCAAAGAAATCCTCCAGTTCCACTCCAAGAATGCCCTCAAATCGCTCTCTCTCTCTCTCTCTCTCTCTCTCTCTCTCTCTTTGGTTCGTCCCTTAGGTGTTTGTGATCCAAAACCCAGCTCCCCCTCTCCTGTGGCTCGAATTTGGGTTAAAACCCTGAATTTCCCGACTCACACGGCCAGGCCACACGGCCGTGTGACTCTCCCAGGCTGCCCGTGTGAGTGTCAAAACGCGGCGTTTCGTTAAGTAACTTCAAGCTTCCTACACGGCCACGACCCACACGGCCGTGTGGACTTCCAGGGTGCCCGTGTGAGTTCCCTAGACTTTCCACACGCCCACAAGGGGTCCCCTACACGGCCGTGTGGCTTTTAGGCATGCCCGTGTGACTTCCTCAACTTCTCGCCAAACGTCCGATATCCGTCCAATCGACCCTGAACTCGTTCCTAAACCTTCATTCACGTACTAGGACCTGAAATATCACAATCAAGAACAACCTAGCGTGAAATCGGCCTAAACGCGAGAATTGACATCTCAAACGGCTCAAGAATAGGGGTAAAAACATGTGTAATTAATGGTCTATCTGTTGGGAACTTCGGTTACGGGTCGGGTCATGTTTGATTGGTTTATTTCGGGTCAAATATTCACACAACCTATTCGGTTTCGAGTTGGGTTACATGTCATTTCGGGTTATGAGCGCTCTCAGAAACAATATCAAACATGCTTCATATTTTCTTAAAGAACACAAATTTTCACAATACCTGACAATAGTTTACCTAACACATGTAAATTAACATATTCTCAAATCCTCTCACGCTAATGAAATGAAATATAAATTGCGCAAATCGTAAAAAAATAATAACAAGAGTAATACTACTACAAGAAACACATGATATTTGATTATCCTTAAACTCCAAACATGTCATTCAAATCCTTGTGATTTTTTTTAAACATCTCACCAATTTATGAGTGATTTTATCATATTTCGAGAGTAATATACTAAATGGAACGGGTCTAACGGGTCAACCCGCTAACCCATCAAGCCCGACCCAAAAAACCACGGGTTATCGGGTTCGGGTCATTCTGATTTCGGGTTACAAAAATTTCTAGTTTTTGAGCGATTTCAGGTCGCGTCAACGGGTCGGGTTGTAATTTTTCAGGTCTACATTAAATCGTTAGAGACATGTGATAATGCTTTTATTTTTCTCTTAATGATACGGAAAAATCAATATGTTAATTCATAAAAGAAAAACAATATGTTGACTATTACTTCACCAATAGATTTGTTTCATTCTAGGTTGTTTGCAGAGAAATTTGTATTTCATTTTTTGTGTCTAATCTGATTCCCAACCGAACTTATAATCCTTAGTGTCGAACCTAAATTGAATTAAGACTATAGGTTTTAGTTTCAAGTCATCATTTTGGATATCGCATCATTGAAATTGAGTTGTTGGTATTGATGCCTCAAATTAATTCAAGATTTGGAGTTATGGAAGACACTTGAGGTTACTTGGGGTTATGAAAGTTAATGATCACATGGAGTTAATTGTGTGGAGTTTCCATTTGGTTAACGGGAGTGCCGTTCACTTTTTGTTTGGCATCTCATAAGTCATTTTACATGGCTTTAAATAGAGAGTCTATTGTTGTTGAATAGACACACCAAATTCTTCCAACTCCTTTATTCTCCTAAAGTGTAGAATATCTTCTTGAGTACTTTTATTTTATGTTGTAAGTTTTCTACTTACTCCACAACTTTGTACGTTGAAGATTATTCCTTGATCATAGTGGATTTACTGGCTTGTCCAGCCCGTGGTTTTTCTCCCTCCTTTTGGAGGGTTTTCCACGTCAAATTGGTGTCTTGCCTTTGTTCATTCTCTTCTCTATTTTCTTGTTCGATTTCATATTGGGTTTGCTTCCACTAGTACTCATTTATATCCAGGTTCAAAAGTCTATAAAAGACAACATGAGTTATATGGATTAGGTAGCTAAATTGTTAAAAAGCCACCCAACCCATATGTGCATAAATTTATAGTAGAGGGCGACCATTTGAATGGGTAGAGAAAAATAAAGGAATATTTGAATATGTTTATTCAATCTCGGCTAATAGATCTCTATGGGTCAATTGTTGTGACCGGGCAATGCACATTTCTTATGCGTAGATTATATGTCCTTCAACCTTTGCTCCCGGTGATATGTTCTTGAACCCCTGCTCTCTCATCGGTTTCATTCATATACATAGAGGATATGTCATGACTTAATCTGCCAAAAGAATTAGTAAATGTTGAAACATTATGTGTTGGAGACTAAAAATCATCATCATAGAATCAAGAAAACTTGATTAAATGAATTTCTTTAATTGGAGCTTCAGATTTTATATGAAAAATTGTTAACCATGATAGTTTGATTTTTAAGATTGAGTGAATTTCTATGCATATGATCATACATTATTGAATGATAGAATGTTCGTACTAAGTTATTTCCCTATGGTAAATATTGACGATGACAATATAAATGTCACAATTAAGAACTTTTGAAAACATTACGTCACTAGACTCAAAAACTTTAATTGAGCCGTCAAGGGTTAGCTCAAGTGTTGGTGAATAAAACTTGTCCCTATGTACTTTTGAGTTCAATTCTTATGGCCCACTATTCTAAACAAGAAAATTTAAAATAAGATTCATTGTCACATTCATGACGGGTTTGTTGAACACCATAAAATAAAATAAAAAATGCTTCATGATGCTCTCTCCTTGGTTTCTGCTTCTTTACTGGCCGATTTCTTCTTGCGGTGGCGCTCGCGGTGTGTGATATCAGTCTGCGGAACCAGGGGGATGATGGACTCCGAGTAATAGCAAAACGTGATGGCATCGCAGGATCGGGCGGTGATCTAGAGATACGGAGAGGACGGACGAGTGCTGTTGATAGGAGAACGCCAGTTTTGTCGAATGGCCCTCAAATTAAAGATCCTCTCCGATCAACTTGGTGGAATACCAGGAAAAGGAAGCTTGTGTGCTTCCAGGAGACTCAATGACAATTTCTAGTCATAAAAAACTAAAAATCTCAAAACTGGGGGTGTGGCTATTCAAGTTGCCCCTGTCAGAAGTGCTAGAAGAAGAGATGGAGGAAGAACCTTGCGTCAGGCATAGTGACTCAAATGACCGGGGTATTATTGACCCTACGAGACCAGAGCGGGGTCTTCTCGCTGGATTCTCAAGTGAATAGGTCTCTTGGTCGGTCTCCCGACAAACGGGGGCTGGCTGGAGTCTAGTACAATCCCGATGTCGGATGGTTCTAATACCCCGCTCTGACCGGGGTAACCGGAAAAAGAACCACCGTGGAACGTCGACGGAGGAAGATAGATCTTTGTTAGGCAAACGAATCACGTCCCTAATCCGCTTTCCCGGAATTTGTGGGATTCAGTTCTCTCCAATCCTGATCCCGAATCAGACTCCTTCTCAAACTCGGTGTCCCTCCCAGAGAAGGGACTACCGTTACAGAATCCCAACGTCGGATGGGCTGTTTGGGTGGGAGTTAGACTCTTCTTCTTATTTAAAGTCACACAGCCCGCAACATTCTCCCACAATTAAAAAGAGGGGTGAGGGTTTGGAGTTGGCAGTAAAGAACGAGGTCCAATCGTAGCAGTTGTTGTTCTCCTGTGTGCGACTACCGTCACTGCTTTGGTCGCTCCTCTTTAGTAAGAAAGACTCCATATTTTTTCCATCATTGTTTGTGCCAGTACCTTCCCCCACCTTTCGACAAGATAAAAAGACAGGTGATTGTCGGGAAGGTGAAAAAGAGGTTCCTCCGTGGCCTAACGATCTGTCCCACCATTTTTATTCGCAGGATCATACAATGGCTCGTATCCATGAAGACCAGGTTGTTCAATTCTCATTGGAAGAGGTCCAACCTGCGAGGATTTGCAGCTCCTGTGCATTGGTGGGTAGGGCTGTTTACGGACAGCGTTGTCACGATCATGGAATTGAGGGACTCGATCAATGGTCATTGGCAAGGGTAGGGGCGGATCAGGGTGCGGATGGCGCAACATGGGCTGTTTGAATTTGTGCTGCCAAATGAGGCATCCAGAAACTGGGTGCTGAAACGAACGCCTTGGGTCCTCTAGGACAAAATTCTGCATATATGGGTGTGGAAACCTACCATTACGACCTTTGATGAACTTGCTACGACCCCCTTTCGTGTCCAGATGTGGGGTATGCCGGAAGATTGCTGCACAAAACAGTTTGGTATGAAAATGGCCAACAGTACCATTGGTCATGTCCTAGAAGAAGGGGTGTTTGCCTGCACGGACACTGATCAATGCTTTGTCAAGGTCAAAGCCTTGATTGATTTTTCTAAGCCGTTGCGATCACAACTTATGGTGACCAGTGATGAGACAGGTTGCTTTTGGATTGACTTGAAATATGAGCACCTACCTACATTTAGCTTCCGATGCGGCCGAGTTGGCCATATGATGAGCGACTGCGCTTTTGATACTCGCACTCGTAAAGAAAAATTTGGATCCCACATGTCCACCAAAAAGCTGGGGACTAGAATTTATGATGAGGAGGATGTAGCTTCTTCATATCGCAGAGGGTCAAACACGATGTGGGTGAATAAGGATCTCCGAGAAAATAGAGAGGCGAGGGACCGTCCCGGCAGGTCTTTTGATAATGACAGAAGCAGCCTGGCTCAACCTGAAGACTCCTCGCAATCACGCCATCAGATACACCAACAGGAGGCGCCGATTCCCCGTACGAGAACTGAGGGAGAGAAGATTAAGCGAGACAAAAGCCCAAGAGGGTTTGCCCTTAAAAAATTGCCGAAGGTTTTTGTCAAAAGGGGCCTTCAGCGATCACCGCCAACCAAGGACAAGGAGCGCAGGGAGAGTTCCCGTTCTGGGTCGATGGGAGCTGCGCATAGAACTGGGCAGATTCACGGGCGATTCAGGGATAATGGGCTGAGCTTCTCGGCCCGTCCAGTCAAGATCAATCTGTATGGGGATGCCCAGTGCCCTAACAAGAAGTTAGTCTGGCTTCGTGATAAGGAAGCTCAGGGACTGTCTAGTACCGGGACGATGGCCGGGGATGCTTCGCGTGCAGCGCGAGTTGAGAAACAAAGTGATGGGGAGGCTACTAGATTTGACCGCCCTAATGAGATAACTCGACGAAGGCAGCTGATCCTTGAAGATGATTCAGATGATGATTTCTGATTCCCTATGCCTCTCGTGCTAGCCACTCATCGTCCTGGTATCGATGGTCGTACTCTAGAACAAGGTTCCTTGACTTTGAAGGCGAGGGGTTTGGGGATGGTGAGGAAAGGAAAAGAGACGCTGGCGAAGGACTCACCCCAGGCAATGCGGTGTCAGCCCCGCAAATCGAAGTCTAAACCGGAGACGGCTGGAAAGCAAGGGTGGACCTGGGCAGGTCGTACGCCAAAATTGGTGAAGGAACTTGCAGTGAGGGAAGATGGTATGGAAAAGAATGAACGGGGTGAACAAATAGCCCCGGTATCTGATGGTACACCCCATAGGTCTGTGGATAATTCACCACAAAAGGACCCGATTCTAATGGGCTCGGAGTCGTCTCTGTCAGGGGATGAAACCCATTATTTTGAAGTTAAGAGACGCATCCAAGGCAAACAAAAGACCGAGGGAGCCTCATCAACTCGAAGCCGCGTTGGGCAGGTAGTGGTGGCGTTTGAAGCAGGCGTGCTACTTAACTATACTGACGAACATGATACTATTCGGTCTTCTGCCTCGCCTCAGGCTTCAGAGAGGGCCATGATTTGGAAGTTGAACGAATATGGGACTAACATTTCGGATCCAAAAATTGGTGGAAAGAAGCGTGTTTTTGAAGAAGTGGGAGGGGATATGCAAGAGCTTCCCACACCCAAAAAACAATTTGTTGAAGAAAAAATGAATGATGAAAAGGTGGAGGAAGCCAGCCTTGAGTGGCCCCAATCGGATAAATGAGGCTTCTGGCCTAGAATGTGAGGGGAGTTGGACCATCACTCACATTCCAAACTGCTATAGGGTTAGTGCATTCTAATAAACCAGACTTTGTCTTCTTTTCGGAAACAAGGTCGAGTCAGAGAGTTGTTTCCCGTCTCATGCGGGGTTCAGGTTTTAGTTTATCCCATTGTTTTTTTGTTGATGCCATTGATACTGCTGGTGGTTTAGTTGTAGCTTGGTCCCACGAGGTTGACGCCTCGGTGTTTTTTCATTCGGATTTTTCCATTTATGTTCGAATTAATGAAAGAAATTTTTCTTATGTGGTAGTTTGTGTCTATTTGAGTTGTCATGAACCAACCCGCGCAAACCAGCTCGATCTCCTACGCCAAAGATGTGAAGATCTTAATGTGACTTTGCATGAGAATGAAAAGGCGGGGGGTAATCCATGGAATGCCTCCCAAGCTGTTGCTCTCAGAGATTTTATTCATGACTTGGGCCTTCATGATCCAGGTTATCAAGGGGATCAGTTTACTTGGACTAATAAAAGGATGAGCACTGCCTGTATCCGTGAACGGTTAGATAGGTCCCTCTATTCCCAAGCATGGATGGATAGATTTCCTGACACTCTTGTTACGCATTTTACAGACCAGGGGTCTGACCACATGGCCATAGTTCTGTCTGATAAAATGTACGTCAGGAATAGCCGCCTTTTATTTCGATTTGATGCTCGATGGGCTGATAATCCGGAGGTCAAAGCAATGATGGCTTACGTTTGGCAAGAGGAAATACATGGGTCCCCTATGTACCCACTTTGGGAGAGACTTAAAAAACTTCATCATTTATTGTATGACTCGAGTAGGGCGGGTATTATGAACTCCCTCCGCAATATAAAAACCCTGCAGGCCAAAATTGATCGGGTTAAACTGATTTACCCGATTTATTGGGATGAGGTTAGGGATCTAGAGATAGAGTTGAATCGACAAAGGGAGATGGAAGAGGTCTATTGGCAGCAGAAGTCGAGGGTCCATTGGCTCAAGAAAGGTGACAAGAAAATGTCGTATTTTCATACGGTCAGCCGAGCACGACGTAAACACAACTTTGTTGCTGGTCTCCATAATGAGGGGGGAGAATGGATAACCGAGGAAAGAGGGAAGGCTGATGTAGCCAGCAATTTCTACCAACACCTCTTCACGTCTGAATCCCATGTCGGGAACATGGAAGCCAGGATTGCCGATTTTCCCATTGAACATAGGGTGACCGATGCAATGAATGATGCCCTTACTGGTGAGGTCCTTCTTGAGGAAATTCGTAGAACTGTCTTTTCCATGGGATCGAAACAGGCCCCCAGGTTCGGATGGCTTTACGGGGATGTTTTTTTTAAGTCTTTTTGGTCTCTGGCGGGAGACTCGATAATTGATGTTGTGCGGTCCTTCTTTAACACGAGCAGACTGCTTCGCAGCTTTAATCACACTTTGCTCACCCTGATACACAAGGTGGACAATGTTGAGAATATGCAGCAACTCAGACCGATTAGCTTATGCCAATTTGTGTATAAGATCACAACTAAGATCATGTCTGAGCGTTTAGCCCAATATTTACCCCCACATAGTCTCGGAGGGACAAAATGCTTTTATCCGGGAACACCACATTGTGGAGAATGTCCGACTTGGGCATGAGTTAATCCACTATTTAAAAATCAAAACGCGAGGCAAGAAAGGTTACATGGCTCTGAAGGTTGACATGGAAAAAGGCCTATGATAGAGTCGAATGGTGGTTTCTACTCGCGATTTTGGCAAAATTAGGGTTTAATTCGACTTGGTGTAGCTGGATCCAGGAATGCCTCCGCTCGGCCTCTTTTTCGGTACTTATGAATGGCTCGCCCTCGGGTTTCTTCACTCCGTCTCGTGGTCTCTGGCAGGGGGACACCCTATCCCCGCTTTTGTTTGTGCTGTGCACGGAGGGCTTTGCGGCGCTCCTCCGACAGACTATCACTGCTGGAAGATTGGAGGGGGTCAAGGTCGCCCCAAGGGCGCCTCAGATTTCACATTTGTTCTTTGACGATGATTCTTATCTCTTCCTTAGGGGTTCTCTTCAAGAGTGTGAGAACTTGATAGAGGTGCTGAATGAATATGAGGAACTAAGTGGGTAGAGGGTCAACCTTGCGAAGACAGCAGTTTGTTTTAGTAAAAATGTCTCCGTGCCTGACCATGATTTTCTTGCCAAAATTTTAGGGGTTGGGGAGGTTGGTGTGCATGACAAATATCTGGGGTTCCCCACGCTGATTGCTAAATCGAAAATGGCTACAATCCGATTTTGGATGAGAAGTTGTTGGGTCGGCTTCAAGGCTGGAAGCAGAGGACCCTCTCATGGGAAACTAAAGAAACCTTGATCAAATCGATCGCGTTAGCTCTTCCTTGGCATGTTATGTCCTACTTTAAGCTTTCCTTGTCTTTGTGTCTTCTCCTGGATAGCCAAGTTGCCATGTTCTGGTGGGTTGAGGAAGGAGGCTGCTCTCGGATCAGGTGGATGTCCTGGCGTAACATGTGTACCAGTAAGCATGATGGTGGTATGGGTTTTCGTCAATTTGAGCATTTCAATCAGGCCCTTTTGGCTAAGATTGGGTGGCAAATCCTGTCTGAGCCTGATTTGCTACTTGCCAAGGTCTATAAAGGAAAATACTTCCCGACGGGGGACTTCCTCACGGCTACCGCCAAGTCAAGACCATCTTGGGGGTGTCAGAGTATCCTTCATGGGTGTCAGCTGCTCCTCCAAGGTCTCCATTGGCAAATTGGAAATGGTCAGACTCCGTCTCTATTATCCTCAAATTGGATTACGCGTCTTCACCCGGATGGTCTTGTGTATAATCCGCGGATCCTTCCGGATGGGGCTGACCCTAAGGTTGCCTCGGTAATTTGCTAGAGGGAAGGAAAGTGGTGTGATCAAAGTCTTAGTCAGTGGTTTCCTCCCAATATCTGCCAATCCATTAAAGCTATTCCCCTCCCTCGGGGGGAAGTCGAAGATAAACTTATTTGGCATGACAATAGGGATGGGTTGTTTACGGTTAAGTCGGCTTATCATCTTGCGGTCCTATTAGATAAGCGAAGGGGTAGATGGAGATCTCTGGCTAGTTGGATGGATAGGCTAATCTGGATTCGCTTGTAGAACGCTAACCTGCCACCTAAACTAAAGGTGTTTTTGTGGCAAATTTTCCACCGCCTCCTCCCCACCACTGAAGCCCTCATTGAGAAGAACGTTCAGGTGCTACCGAGATTTCTGGTGTGTTGGGCTGAGAAGGAAATGATGGAGCATTTGTTTCTTGATTGCCCAGTCGCTCGGGCTCTTTGGGAGCATTCTGGGTTGGAAGATCTTGGTCAGGGACTACCACGTCATACCTTCCGGCTCTTCCTGAAAAAGTTGATGTCTTTGTTACATCAACCTCATATGGTCATGGCAGTAGTGACAGTCCCTTGGCATACATGGCGATCTCAGAATTGGGTTGTCTTTGAGGGAAAACAATATGGGATCCAAGCCTTGATGAGGAATTTTAACCAACAGTACCTTGAGTGGATCAATTTTCCGAGGGATCAGGGACCGCCCAACCCTTTCTCACGTTTGGAGGCTGGGGGAGGGGGGGGGTGGGGGGAATAACACCCCCGGGTCCATCACTTGTATATGGGATGGAGCGATGATAAACCGTTAATTGCACATGTTTTTACCCCTATTCTTGAGCCGTTTGAGATGTTGATTCTCGTGTTTTAGGCCGATTTCACGCTAGGTTGTGCTTGTTTGTCATATTTCAGGTCCTAGTACGTGAATGAAGGTTTGGGAGCGAGTTCGGGGTCGATTGGACGAAGATCGGACGTGTGGCGAGACGCTGAAGAAGCCACACGGGCACACCTAAAACCCACACGACCGTGTAAGAAACCTATGTGGCCGTGTGGGATTTGCCGAGGCTTCACACGGGCATACTGGAGATTCCACACGGCCGTGTGTCCCTGGCCGTGTAGGAAGCCTGAAATCCACTTAATCAGAACACCGCGTTTTGACACTCACACGGGCATCTGGGTAAGCCACACGGCCATGTGGCCTGCCCGTGTGATCGGGATTTTCTGGGTTTTAACCCAAATTCGAGCAAAGAAAGAGGGGAATCGACTTTTGAGAGCAAAAATAGAGCCCTAGAGAGAGAAAGTGCGAAGAACACATCCTATAAGCGATCTTGGAGCTGGGTTTCATCAAATCGAGCTTGGAGATCATCATAA